GTGCTGAACACTGGAATTTGACACAACACTGTAAAATGATTATGAATCAATAAAAAATGTAAAAAAAATTGAAATTCAAAGAGAAAAAGAATGAAAAATGCTGAACAAAGTATCTGATAACTGTGCGATTATAAAAGGTATAACATACATGTAATGGGAATACTAAGAGAAGAAATATTCGAAGGAATTATGATAAATTTCCAAAATTATTTATAGATACCAAACTATCTATCATGCATTTTACCATGAAGGTAAAAAAAAACAACAAAAACTAACAACACAAATATCGAAAAACTACACCTGGGTATCATACTCAATTTGCAGAAAATTGAAAAGAAAAAAATTGTGAAAAAGTAAGAGAAAAAATACACCTTACCATGGAGATGGAAGTAAAATTGTGAAATGAAGTTAATTTGTTCCTTCAAATATATATGTTGAAATTCTAACCCCAAATGTGATAGTATTAGGAAAGCATAAAGAGGTTATTTTATCATGATGGTGGAGGCTTCATGAGTGGGAATTATGCCCTTATAAAAGGGACTTCAGTGAGTTCTCTTACCCTCTTTCCACCTTGTCAGAAAACAATGAGCATACAGATGTCTAAAACCCAGAAGAGGGCTCTTACCAGAATTAACCATGTTGTCACCCTAATCTTGGACTTTTAACCTGCAGAGTGGTGGGAAATACATTCATAATTTATAAGCCATTTATTCTATGGTACATTGTTATATCAGACTAAACTGACTAAGACAAATAACATCAGAATTTTTTTTATCAGAAACCATGCAGACAAGAAGACAGTTCAGTGAAGTATTTAAACTGGTACAACAACAACAACAAATGTACATCTCTAAATCCAGCAGAATTACCCTTCAAAATGAAGATGAAGTAGAGTTTTGCTAGCAAACAGACATGAGTGATGTTGTCTGCCAGTAAATTTCTAGTGCAAGAAATATTAAATAAAATTAATTCTTCAGAGAGAAGGAAATTGTTATAGGTCAGAAGCTCACATCTACATAAAAAAGAATCATTAGAGAAGGTAAATGAAGCTAATGTCATTTATTTTTACATTTGTTTTAAAAATTGAAGTATAATTGACTTTTTTTACCTTCTTAGCTGACCTAAAAAATAATAGTTTATTTGATAATAATAA